AAATTATGAGAATGGGAACTATGGTACATATTCCTGCTGGTTTCCGAAGCGCGGATCACGAAGCACATAGTGCGAGTTGGCGTAGCGTCTCAGGATGGCCGGTGTTTCAATCCACACCTTCACTTTGATTCTACAATCTCGGCTTTAGACCTTCTGCCACACTGAACGTGTCTCAGAAGCAAACTGGCCTCTCCATATGGAAACAAGTGGGGAGACCTCCAGCCGCCCCTTCAAGAGCACCCAATGGCAGGTCCACCCTTGTACAATTGCTTTGGTTGAAATCCAGCTCATCGTCATAAATGTTCAAATTTTTCAGGCATACTCAGATTGATCTGCGGGTCGAACTTTCACAGCCCAGCATGAGTGCTTTACTACGTTGGACCTCTCCGCCATCAAGAATCTCGCTTTTATCAGTCTGCTTACTGGGCTTAGGTGTGAAGGCTGTCTTTTTTCCAGATGAGAACCTGTCCTCTCTCGGGGAACAAGAGTATGATTTATACAAAAAAGCACGTTTTGGTACGCATCAAATAGTTAGCATGCTCTTCTATACACGCCGCTGAGACCAAAAACCGTCTCCTGCATAGATTCCTTCCTTGATATGACGGATCGAGGACCTCCTGATCAACGCCCTACTTTGGGCGACATGACCCAGCGTGAGCCTTGAGTAATCTCTGAACCCCATTGATCGCGATTGTAATTGACCGAAATCAAGCATTAGTCATTACCGGAAACAGAGACCCCAACGAAGCGACCCCGGTCCAAGCGCATACAGCCCATGAAGAGGAAATGCTGGAACTTGAGCTTAATCATGGTGTCAAAGCAAGCGGTTAGCGTAAAGAGATTACTAAATGTCAGGATTAGTATTCGAAGGTGGCTGATATTCTCTGATTGTGGATGTTTTTGGGGCCTTGTGTCTACTGAATGTATGGAATGTGCGCACTGCTCACCTAGGTTCAGCATGAGAAGAAGAATATTTTTCATAAGCTTGTCAAGCCTCCTCC